GAAGTGGGAGGAGGCTCTGAGGGTTACTGAGGACACTGGGGGTGGTGAGGGCCTGTGGGGGTTTTGGGGGATTGCTGCAGGGAGGGGGGCTTGAGGTAATGGGGATCTCCGGGCGTTGATGGGGGTCTCTGGAGGCGATGGGGCCTTCTGTGGGGGTTAATGGGGGTCTCTGGAGGCAGTAGGGGAACTAAGGGGATTAATAGGGGGCTCTGAAGGCAGTGGAGGGCCTCTGGACATTAATCGGGGTCTCTGAGGGCAGTGGGAGGATCTGTGGGGGTTAATGGGAGACTCTGGAGGCAGAAGGACAACTGTGGCATCAACAGGGGACTCTGGAGCTAATGGGGGGTCTGCAGGAGTTAATGGGGATCTCTGGAGGCAGTGAGAGGCCTGTGGGTGTTAATAGGGGGCTGTGGAGTAGTGGGAGGTTTCTGGAGGTAGGGCGGATCTCTGGGGATTGGTGAGGTCTGTGGAGGTAGTGCAGGGTTTCTGGAGGTAGGGCGGATCTCTGGGGATTGGTGGGGTCTGTGGAGGTAGTGCAGGGTTTCTGGAGGTAGGGTGGATCTCTGGGGATTGGTGGGGTCTGTGGAGGTAATGGGGAGCTATCAGGATGTGTGGGTGCTCTAGGGCTTCTTGAGGGGCTCTGAGGACTCAGTGTTTATCTCTGGGGGTTAGTGGAGGGCTCTGTGGGTGACAGAGGGTTCAGGGGTTAGCAGTTTTGGGGTTAGGCCAGGGTTCTGGGCTTCTGGTTGCTATGAGGAAGGAGCTACTCCACTTCAAGACAGTTGATGGATGAAGGAAAGTTGTGTGCTTCCTCCAGCTCCCTTCCCTGCATGTGAGCGCCTTGTTACAGAATTGTTATGTTCTTCAGCCTCAGCCGTCCTGTTCCCAAAGTGTTGAAACCTCTAAGGACCTGTGCATATGTAGGGAAGGTGACGAGGTTTAGAGGTATAAGCACCTGCTCAGTCTTCAGCCCAGAGCTTGAATTGTTGTTTTGCTAATGATCTGTTAACATTAGGCAGATTGTTTTGAGTATATTGTCACTGTAAAATTAGCCAAGCCCTTACGGGGTTGCTATGTCTACTCCTTCCCTCCTACACATACGTTCATTCTCATCTGTGGCAAGTCTGGTTTTGATCTGGGCTGTCACAGCTGGGACCATGGGAGAAAGCCCAGACTCTGCTTTTGCAGAGGTTAATAAGTTGCCCACAGCTGCATGAGCTGTCATTCCCTCCCGCTTTCTGCTTTTAGGCCCCAAAGAAATACAAGATCTCCCACTTTTCGGTGGGAAAGAACAATAGTCTGGCTCAGGTTCCTGCAGCACAGAAGCCTTGGCATACACTCCCAGAAGCCAAAGCGATGTTCAGTTGAATGCTATTGTACCAGTATCCCTCTCCAGTGAGACCATGCTCTTAATTTCTTTGTGTCTTGATTTGTTTCTTAAGGGACAGTAATCCTAATGCCTTATTTAAGGGTTATAGATAGCATAATCTATAGCTATGTGAAGTATAATCTATAGCTGTTCTACATTAATTTATGGATTGACGGAAGACTTGTGTCAGTGGCAAATAAAGTGGAAAAATTTTGCAGAGTATCTGGTCATGACCTCACAACCCCAGAGATGTTTTATAGTAGTCTCACCCACACATGCAGAGATGCCCCATTGTAGAACTAAAAGGCTCTTAAATGGTTAAATCTCACACTGTGCTTTGAAGATGGCTGGACTCTTGCTTTGTCAGGCTATACAGAGCATATGTATATCTTGCTGTTTTTCTTTAGCCATCTGGGGTGTTTATTTCTTTTGGTTAGGGAGAGAAGTGCTGAGAATTTGAGGATAATAACAAGAACTGTGAAAGTTAAATATGATTTTAAAGTGAATTTGCTTTGTTGTGTTTGGCCATCTGATAACATCTGCCAGGACAGCTGTCTGCTTTGCTGCTTGGACAAGGCATCTACAATAAGCATTGTTAGGGAAGGCAATAATTTCTAATCTATTTAATGTCAGATTCCTTTAGCATCAGTAAGTAATTTAAAGGGGCCTCTTTAAGACATAATTATTGGGTTTTTTAACAATAAAATCTGCTTTTCTAGCTTTCTGCCTTTCTAACTGGGGAGTTTAAAAATTTGCATAGCTCTTATATCCCCTTGTTCTCTTTGAACGAGCAATAGCTGCCAACTTAAAGACTTCTAACACAAAGTTCTGAGGGAGCTATCTTCATCAGATACGGTTAGGTGTGTATGAGGGGTTTATAAAGCGACTTCCCATAATGCAAAATTTGTTTGTGCGTCGGGAGGGGAAGAGATAGCTGCAGATTTTATTTTGGAAGAGAAATTTTACTGCTTCTTATATCACTGCCAGTTATGCCTTTCTGAGACAACAGTAAAACAAAAGCATGCCTTGTTCTCAGGCAGCACTATTTGCTCTGTGTTTCCACAGTTTTTTTTTTTTTTTCATTGAGCTTGTGGGATATAATTTTCACTTATGTTTCTCTTCATTCTTTAAAAGGAACTGAATAATTTCATATTTCTGTTTAAACATATTGTGTTGAACACAGTTGTGATGTTTTCAAGCAAGGCCTAACACTCACCATAAGGGAGAAGTGAAAATTATGTAGGTCCATCAGCACACCAAGAATGCATGTTCTCTGCCAGGAAGTAGCAGTGGTTCACATAAAGATTTAATTAGGGCTAGACAATGTCTTCAGATAAATGCCAGGTCTGACAGAACAAAGATATCGGAAAAGGTTTTGGGAGAGCTGAGGGTGTTAATACAAGGGATTTTCTCTTTTCCCCCTTCTCTTCATCTGGATAATGTCTGAAGCTAGGCAGGCTTTTTATGTTAACTCTTTTGCTTAATGTGGGAAAGTAATGCTAGGATGAGCTCAGAGGATTTGTAATGGAGATGGATAGAGTCTCTTGCATCTAAAGTGCCAATTTAATGGGAGCAGGGTTCCTCATATGCGAAAGCTACCTGATTTTTGGCAAGTGGCTTGTTTGGTAGTCTTTGTTTAGTTTCCAGTGGTCACATAAGAGAAAATATAAAACTTCACCATTGCTACTAATTACAAACCTCCCTTAATTTGTTTTTAATACTTTGATTGACCTGTGGACGCTGAACTGTCTTTTCTTCTCTATAAATGTTGTCTCCAGAGTTGAGTGGGTGGTTTTCAACAGGTTTTTATGTGGAAGGTAGTCAGTCAGCTGTTGCAGTGTGCCTCGGAGCTTCCTGAATTTATTTAAAAAATGTTTTACCCTTTCCATATTGCTTTATACCCGAGGTTGCAGTGAAACAAGGTAATAGCACCATTTTATGTATAGACTAAGAAGCTTGTTCAGGGTTATGTAGCAGAATCCATTGCTTCTCACAGACTTAATGGGTAAATGATGCTTTTCAGCATCCCATCAGACTTAGAAGTCTTCCTAGTCCCTTCGCCACTTCATAATGTTGCTTTTGTCAGTTGTCAGTGCTTTCTAATAGGCCTTCTTGTGAAGATCATGGGGCAGGCTTTTGTGTGGAACGTGGCAGCTGTTGCTTCTGGCAAGTGGCGTGCTTTTAATCAGTGCCCGGCTTCCCGTGAATCCAGCAGCAGTCTATGTTGCTGGGTGTGGACCCCAAAAGACCACTGGAGTTTCCACTTTCATCTTGCATTGCATTCTTCTGGTTGAGCCCAGCTCAGACAGTTGAGGGATGGCCTTACCATCAGCCCCAGACCCAGTCTTTCTGAGAGAGTTGGAAAGTATCTGAGGGGTGGAACTGGATGCTTCGGGTCTCTGGGACTGCGTTAGGGCTGATGTGTCTATTTAGGATTCTTTGTGGTACTGGGAGTTGGGCCAGTTCTTATGACTGAATTGTTTATTTTATTTTTCTCAGTCAATATTGTGAATTTGTATGAGCGCAGGTAGACTAGATTCCTCGAGGAAGACTATTTCGAAGAACGCTCCTGACCTGGGAGTAGGAGGAATACAGGAAGATGTGTAGTCAAACAGTGGAGACAAAGTGCTTGGTATCTGGAGGTAGACTGGCCTGAGGAAAAAGCCACAATTGACAGTAGCAAGAATTTGCCTTGAGATTCGGTGACCTACTGTAAATTGCATTTTTATCCTTCTTTGTTGAAGGGAGCCATCTGAAGTGTCACCACTCTATTCAAGGTTCTTAGAACAAATATCCTTACCATAGGTTAGCAAGAACAGCTTAGATGATTAAAATTGATTGAAATTGGAGAACATGGAGTAATGGTGACATTTTTGCTCGTGCTGCTTATTTGATATATGCCATATGTCTTACACATGAGGAAACAGTGAAACGGTTAAATTTTGTAGTACTTTTTATACTCT